GTTCAGGGTGATTTTGGGGTTCAGGGTGATTTCGGGGTTCAGGGTGATTTTTCGGGGTGTCCCCCAGGGCGCTGTCGGAGGCCGGGCAGGAGCGCGAGCGGCGGCGCCGGGGGCAGGAGCTGGCCAAGCTGCGGGAATGGCGGCGGGACGAGGAGCGGCGCCGCGCGGCCGAGGAGCGGCGCCGGGACAGGGCCGAGGAGCGCGCGGCGCGGTGAGGAGGGGACGGGCCCGGGGATCTCTCCAAATAAAACCCCAAAACTTCGGGGGAACCCCAAAATTTCCACCCCAAAAAAAAAAAAAAAAAATCCCCAAAGGAGCTGCTCGCGCAGAGTCCTCCGGGCCGCCAGGGGGCGCTACAACCGCGGGAAGCGCCCTCACGAACCCCTCAGAACCCCGGCCCCCAAAACCTTGGGGAACCCCAAAATCCCAACACCAAACCCTCCCTGCGAACTCCAGAACCTCCCGGGAGACCCCAAAATCCCAAAAACCCCGGAATTTTTCCCATTAAATTTCCCGGGAAGGGCTTTGCACGCTGAGTCCTCCGAGCCGCCAGGGGGCGCCACAGCCGCGGGAAGCGCCCTCACGGACGACGGCGGCGCCGAGGAGATTTTGGGGGGCTAAAAACCCCTCAGGACCCCCTCAAATTACAGGAACCCCCCCGAATTCCCACCCTAAAACCTTTAGGGACCCTCCCCAAGCCCCCAGACCCCCAAACCTGAGGGTGCAGCCCCAAACCTGAGGGGTTTTTTCCGGAGGGGGTTTGGGGGGGTTTGGGGGACGATGGGATCTGGGGGCTCCCAGATGGGATTCCAGGGAACCCTGAGGGGAATCCTGTGGGTGATCCCCCCCTTTTTTGGGGTGATCTTGGGGTCTCCCTGCTGGATTTTGTGATCTGGTGAATTTTGGGGTGATTTGGGAGGATTTGGGGTGCTTTTGGGGTGATTTTGGGATGATTTTGGATGATTCTGGGTTGATTTTGGAGGATTTTAGTTAATTTTGTGTTGATTCTGGAGTATTTTAGTTGATTTTGGGGTGATTTTGGGGCTCTTTGCTGGGATTTCAGGGGATTTAGCGTTGATTTGGAGTTGATTCTGGATGATTTAAAGTTGGTTTTGGATGATTCTGGGATGATTTTAGTTGATTTTGGGTTGATTTTAGATTATTTTGAGGTCATTTTAGTTGATTTTGGGTGATTTTAGGTTGATTCTGGATGACTTTAATTAATTTTGGGTTGATTCTGGATTATTTTAGTTAATTTTGGGTGGATTTAGGATGATTTAGGGTTGATTTTCGGTTGGTTCTGGATGACTTTACTTGATTTTGGGTTGATTCTGGATGGTTTTGGGTTGATTTAGGGCAGTTTTGGGTTGATTTAGGGTGATTTTGGGTTGATTTCCGTTGATTTTGGGTTGATTTCCATTGATTTTGGATAACTTTAGTTAATTTTGGGGTGATCCTGGATGGTTTAGGGTTGATTTTGGGTTGATTTCAGTTGGTTTTGGGTTGATTTTGGGCGGTTTTGGGTTGATTTCCGTTGGTTTTGGGTTGATTTC